GGGGGGGGGTTTATAAACAGACCGTCAGCCGTCATGTAGTCGAGTTCAGTGGATGCGACGGGCACAATTCGACGCGTCACGCGTATAGCCTCTCTTGTGGAATCCGACCTCCACGTCCATCCAACAGGCCGTGCCGGACCCGACCCTGCACGTGACCCATCCCCGTTCCAGCCGTAGCGGCCCGCACCGACCCGAACGAAAAGGTACCACACACATTGGGAGGGAAATGCGTTCGCAGCCCGCCATGAAATATGCGCTCTCACCATCTCTCTTTCTCTCTCTCTCTGAACAGTGCGTTGCTTTGTGTCCGGTGGAAGGCAGCTGCTGGGCAGAGGCCCCCGGCTCGCTTTGATCCAACCCAGATGAGGTAGGCATGGTGTGTCGGGCCAGGGGCGGGACCTACCTGGTGCGCACTGTAAACTGGTTGGCGTCTTCTAACGCCAAAATATTAGCGTCCCCCAAAGAAAGCCAAAATATTGGCGTCCTCCAAAGAACGCCAGAATAATGGCGTACTTCTTCTGAGAAAGTTGGCGTCCTTCGGGCATTTGGCGTCATTGAACGCCAATATTTGGCGTCACTGAACGCCAATATTTGGCGGTCGTCATGGGACGCCAATATTTTGAGTTATTAAAAGATGCCAACCAGTTTACAGTGCGGCGTGGCGCATCCACTCGGTAACCCCACTCTCCATCCCGCACAGCCCAACAGCTCACTGCTGCAGTGGGCCTTCTAGCTTGCAGAGAGACCAAGAGACAGAGAAAGTCAGAGGGAGAGAGACAAAGAGAGAGAGAGAGAGAGAGAGAGAGAGAGAGAGAGAGAGAGAGAGAGAGAGAGGAGAGAGGAGAGAGAGAACGACGTAAGCGTGATGCTAAAGACAGAGGCAGACGACGGCAACACTACAGGAGAACGCAGGCAGAGAAAGAGAGGGGCGCTTGAAGGGAGGGTGCGCGCGCGCGGAGGGGGAGAGAGGAGTGCAAGAGACAGAGAGAGATGTGAAGTGAGAGGAGAGGCTTTCTGCGGCGGCAGCAGGCTCCTGCAGTAACTGAGCAGCGGCCATAACAGTACTCTTATCATTGCCCCCTCCACACACCTGGCGGCCCAGGGTCGTAAGGGACAGGAGGCGGGCGCGAGGAGACAGTTTCGCCCAATAGATGTTATCCGCAACCCCCGGGGCGCGCCGGCCCAGCCCCAGTCCCGGCCAGCCCCACTTTTATTCACTTTTATTCATCGCGTACGGCCCGTGTACCGCCCCAGTCAGCAGGAAGGGTCCGTAGGCACATAAGACTGGAGGGGCCGGGCCGGCCGGCTGGCCCGGAGGACCCTCGGGAACACGAGTAGATAAAGAATAGAATGATATCCGGTTTATTGCCTCACTTTCTTTCGTCCATTCGCCCGAAACTTACAATCCACTGGCTATCCCTCGCCGTCCATCAGTCTTAGGTCGTCCGAAGGGGGGAACCACGGCCGGCCACCTCTTCTTCTTCTCCCCCTTTTCTTGTGATTCTGTCCAACTTTCCTAGCGACCCATCGCGTTATTGCGCGTTAAAAAACACCTGCAGTAAGATGCTGTCGTCAGCTACACATTTGAAATTATTCTTATTTTTATTTTTTTGTTTATAAGTACAGGTGTGAACACCGAAGTATAAGCCCCCTGGCAAAACACATCGAAAACAGACGGCATTTATTGCATCTGTGCAACGCGCTGGGGGGAGCCTGCCTCCCTGTTCCGTAGTTAGCAGTATAGTTTTGCAACGACTCGCCACCTTTATAGCAAGTATTTCCGAAGACAAGCATAAAGCCTCGCTCCCCC